TGATAATGATTTTTTTAATTAAATTAAAGCACCGAAATAGAAAAAATAGTATGAAAAACGCGTGTTACAATGCTTTATTGTAATACTCCTATCTTGCGGACACTCGTGGCTACGCTTCGCGTCGCCACTCGTGCCACAAGATAGTCGTATTACAATAGGTCGCATTGTAACACTTGTCTTTCAATATACTATTTGCGTAAACTGGTTAAAGTTTGTTTCCCTTACTTTCTGTACACATAGATCAGTTATGAAATGTATATTAGCATAGAGTAAATTTACTCTATGATATTAATGAGTGTCCGCACGTGTAGATATCTAGGTATATTGATTAATATAATGTAGATGCAAGTACAAGCGTAGGTAAGCGCATACAACATAGGTAGGTAAGTGGGTATTAGGTAGATATTTAATCATTGAGGTGAGGTACCTGAAAAATGTCTTGAATGTCTTGAAAAGAACATGCCCGCATGGTGACGATGCTGTCATATAAATTTGTCAAAATCATTTTTGTTGATTTTCGTTGCATGGAAAGTAATATTTTCCTGGCGTGTTATTCAAATGAGTTTAAACGGCGTTCGCGTCGGGTTCAGCGCCAATTGACTTTCTATTGAATACCACAGACTGCATTCATTTCCCCTTATAGTATTATTACTTCCCTTATAGCATACCATTATAATGCACTCTCTAATCGTATACCCCCAATTTGCAATACAATACCAACGTCTATTTTTCGTTTACCCGTTTCTTAAATAAAGAATACTGCAATGTGTACCTATAGTCCATCCAACGAAAACTGACTTTACGCCTACACTTACCCCAATTTGTAGTTTTTTTATTCCTTTGTATTTTTCATACGGCCGACAGTGGTTTTAATTGTGTTTCTCAAGATTTGTTGACATTACGTTACAGGTGACATGGGTATTAGCTGTAATGAAGATAATTGTAATCAGCAAGGAATTGCAAATTACATCTATTATAACTTGGATTTAGTTAGGTATTTTAATGGGGGCAGAAAAAGCTCAGCCTGAAAGATGTAATTAGGTAGTTATCCTTAGGTTTACGTTACCTAGCACCAACAATATTGAAATGCGAAAAAGTATTGCCACGACGATGACATGTAGAGGGTTGAAACTCGAAACTATATGCTACACGGGGGGACGATAATTAGGTTGGGTAATAGATTACCTATTGTTGTTATTTAAGTTTGCTTTTATGTACCACGTTCGTAACAAGTGGGCGTCACTGATTTAGAATTTGGACACATTTCTCATAAATAGGTATAGGTAGGTATAGATCCTTCACTCAACGGTAGGTACCTATAGTTGCGACAGACATTTTACACACAAAAAAATTTGATATAACTATGATTTAAACCTCGAGAGAAAACATTTACTTAAAACGAGGGAATATCGTGCATGAGCAGGTAGTAATAAAAAGTACTGTAGTATGCGTACGGACTTATTGTTTGTAAACTAACATTTTCGCCTTGAAGAGACGGTCACAGCGGTGGAGAAACTGTAACCAAATGAGTTACGACAATCTAATCTGGGACTGCTCTCGAGTCTCAACTATAGGCTGGGAAATCCCGAACGAGGGAATCTCGGGGGCAAGATTACGCTAATCAAAAACTCTTCGGTTTAGAATCTATGTGTGATAGCTACCACATATTTTTGCCGACAGTTGAATTTGCCTACAAGGCCATGTAATTTCCCATCTTGCTTTTAACAAAAGGACTTTATTGCACAAAAGAAGAGTCACATCCTGTAGCCTTCCTCAGAATTTGGGTACCTGCTTGCCTGCCCCATTGTTCCCAACATTGTTTTTAGCGTCGAGTGTAACCAACATTGTGTATATGCATTTACTATCTTTGTTAACTTCTGCTTAAACTTTTACAAATCATTTTGTTAACTAATTTTTGGACTGTATTAATCAAACTGCGAGGTTTTTCTACGTCGTACTCTTTTTACCGTTAGCAGTTACTTTTGCGAGAGTACGACACATTATGGCTTAGTTTACATTAATGTACATCACCTAAATTTCCGGGCTTTCACAATCTTAATAATAACGATCATTATTATAAACAATAAACTTTTCACAATTTCAGTGTTTTATTTTACGTTCCTTCTCTACTGTACTTCAGGTCAAAGCGTTGTTTACAACTAACGTAAAGGGGCGCCCTACCTTAGATGTTTTATCATGTGCCATCTTTTCAAATTTAAGCGGGATCTGGTTTAGTTTTGGAGGGAATAGTCATTCGGGTGGCTATTTTTAAACGTTGCCGGGTTGACTTTATTTCCGTGTTTTTGTAGTGTTAAGTTAAGTACACTACAGGCTTTTCAGCTCTTCCTTTTACCCTTTACTTCTAAGAATACAGTATCAAATTTAATTTCAATCGGTTCGGCCGTTTAGCCGGAAATGAGAGTACAGACAGACAGACCGACATCATCGAGATTCTGTTTGATCGGATTCCTATGGTGCTTCAAAACGTGCATTTTGGTCTAATAAATTAGTAGGGGATGGGTTTACTAACCTGCGGGTGATAATTTACTTACCTCCACCATAGAGTAATATTTACTCTATGCTGTCGCGCTTCTGTTGTTCCCATATAATCGGCATTGCCGTAGCAGCGCGATAGAGAGCGCTTGCCGATTAGTTTTCCGCTCTCGCTACCTGCAGTATCCGCTCTTAGTATAGGCACGCGCAGTTCATTTCTATGTCGTGGTAGGTAGCTCTCTCGGAATTCGTAGTACGAATAGAACTTATGCGTGAGTCAATCTGAACGGGGATTGAATAAAACTTTAGTTTTGTGCGTAAGAAAAGATAACAAAAGAAATATCTGACGCACACAAAAAGGGCAGGAGAAACAACCTAAATTGAACAACAAAATCTGGCATAACGCATAAAAAACAAATACAAATCAACTAGTGCAACAAAATGCGAAAGAAAAATACACAAATCAAATATCTCAAATTGCACAAATAAAATGCCGCTATAAACAAATTAATAAAAACGAAACCCATGAAAAACAATATAAATGAAAGTAGTACAAAAACATGTAGGGTCCAATTTAGACAAAATAAAAAACCTGTAAAATGATAAATGGCATGTACATAAAAAACAAAAGGAAAAGGGCATGGCTCCACTCCGATAACGGCTACCCTTAATTTAACACGAAAAGTACATGTAAAAATGCCCACAGTATTCATGTTTAAATAAGCCTGACCTATCAAGAACCCACATACTAAACCGAAGAAAAATTAAGTTGAGGGCTCCTGTGGTGAGGCCGTATGCACATCCGGCAGCAAACTAGACGTGCTGTACCCTCATTGGTCAAAACGGCTAACCGATGAGAGCGTAGCGTCCCTGGCTGCAAACGTTTAAAAGAAGAGCTCCGAACTCTGCAAAGACTTCCTGCTCGATCTCGCGCAACGCTTCACCAGCCATCAAAAGACCCGCATCCGCGCTTACAGCGCTTAACGCACTATTTTGTATATAGTAAATATATTCCATAAAGCGCAACACAAACTAATTTAGCGTCGCCCGCACAGTATATCCTCATACTGTGGTCGCCCGCTAAAGCCCATCTTCTCGTATTGCTAAGACACGAGCTGCAGTCCGTACAAAAAGAGGAAGCAACATGATACAGCGAAGATTCGGAATTGTATGAAGTACTTTCTCCAAGAAATAAACGATTAACCAAACATACAGGCGACATTACACTGATAATCTACTATGTGAATACGTAAATCTATATAAATACGTATGCGATGAAACTGTGGAATGGTTGACCGTATGTCCGCCAAGGTTTCCCGTATAGTAAACGGGGGCGAGCTGAGGTGGCGCAGCCGCCGAAACCGAGGATGTCTCATATATTCATCCCATTGTGAGGAATTTTGGGGAATGGCTGGACGCGTATACCCCTAAAGTTTCTGATTTAGTCAAATTGCGCGAAGCGAACCGAACTATGTCCCATGCGGAAGCGGGACATTGACTGATAGCATAGAGTAATCTATGCCTCCACATACTTTTATTATACCTACCTACTGCTGATTTGGACAAAAGTGAAACATAATGCAGGGTTTTAAAAAATACGCAACATAAATATTTAGCAAAATCTTATAAATAAAATGAAACCCCTTGTGGTGCCATACCTACGGTTAGGCAACCCACCTTACATCTCAAAACATGGCAGTATATGGGACCACTGTGAAACGCTCTGTTACAATAATCGTGAGGAGTCGAGTCTTCGACTTCCACCGTTCTGCACAAGATGCCGAAGAACAGGGATTTTTGCGATGAAGCTTATTTGGTCTGTTTGAAAAGTGTATAATTACATGTAGTAATCAATCATTTTATTCTTTCTCGTACTAACTAACCATCAATCCTTGAATGTTATGTCACACTTTGTGACAAATTGAAGCATGGTGCTCCACGTTTTCGTTTTGTGTACACAGAATCATGTTTGCTATACTGTACAGGTGGTTGTCTTTTATTTTATTAAGTACTTGCAGACCCGGCGAACTTCGTACCGCCTATCCGCATAGAGTAAATAATATTACTCTATGGCGATAGAGAGCGGTTGCCTCTTAGTTCCACTCTCGCTCACCTGCAGTATCCGCTTAGTGTTGGCACGCCCAGTCCCTTTTTGTTGATGTTTACTACACAGATTGGAAACCGCCGCGAAACCTCCGTCGTTTGGAGATACAACACCAATCTATTGAAACATTTGCACTGACAGAATAAATGAGATCAACTGATCACCCCAATCTGAATTACGCCATGGTCTCTATAGCAGCTATGCAGCAACTAATATAATATTGTTTGGTGTATTATGTTGATGTCAATGCGGAAGCGCATCCCATGAAAGTTTTGTAACGTGTTGGACCAAATCAAGCCTTGTTTGCAATGAAGTACCAATATAGGCGACAACTGCAGACTGCCATACATTTCTACACCCACTTCCATCTGTGAGGCACCCCTCGGTAGGCGCCCGCCACTAGTTTTCGAAAAAATATAATTTATTAGAAAAATGTTTCCAAACATTTTTACACTTGTTCAAAAGTACAAAGATTGTAGTGATATAAATACAAAATATAATAATAATAATGATAGCTAAAGGTAACAATACCTCTATATAATAAAAAAAAATGTATGTATAATGAACTTAAAAACTTAGGTAGTAGCCTGTAATTCACAATGAATGGAATAAACCCGAGATTTTCACAGGTGCCCCAACTCACCATTTGTACTGAAGTATTTAAAATCAAATCGGCATGATAACCAGTGTAACCAACAACTCGTACTTAGTTACCGATAACAGTTTCAACTTTTAATACTAGAAGATCTAAAATTAATCAAGCATATAAACAAGCAGATCATTATTTCAAGTATAAAAAATCTAACGATTCAGATCTTAAAACGGATGCGCAGAGAGGACGTGATTTCGCAAATCTTTGGCTAACGCAAATCCTAAATCGCAAATTGAACAAAAATAGATACTTTTGTTATGGCTTGGTTTAGGAGAATTGGTTTCGCCCGTCAACTTCTGGCGATCGTGCGTTTTTAAATGTACGGTCAACGCGTTTTGCTTCTCAAAGTTGCGATCGCAATGCACACATTTGAATTTATCAGACAGGAACTCTCTGTGATTCTGTTTTATGTGTAAATTCAGGGTGTCCGCCCTACTAAAACCGGCGGGGCAGTATTTGCACGAGAATGCTTTCGTCGATTTGCTCTCCACCTGCTTGTGTAGTTGCATGTGAATATCGAACGCGGATTTTTTGTCGAAGCTCATTTTACAACTGTTGCATTTCATAATTAATACGGTTGTGTTGATATTCCGATGTGTTTCGAGGATGTGGATTTGCAAAGTTGAATCTGTCGGGAAACGTGCGGGGCAGTTTGAACATTGGAACTGGTACGAGGCTGATGGTTTGCTTTTCTTTGCGGCCATTGCTTTAACAAGTTGCTCCTGCGCGCGCACCCGGTTGAATTTGACTCTCTTATGCCAACCTTGGTGGGAGGCGAGCGCGCCTGGATTGTCGAAAATTTTCTTACATAGTTTACAGATATGTTTTGTTCCAGGTACCTGTACCTTTGGCTTGGATGTCATGTCGCTATGATCCTTGTCCATATGGTCATTTAAATCGCTGACACTTGGGAATGGTACTTTGCAATACTTACAGTACACTGACACTAGCTTCTGTGTATTTTCCACTCGCTTGATATGTTTCTCTTGATGTCGCGCAAGGGCTATGTTTGTGGGGAATGTTAACGAACACTCGTCACATTCGAACACTTCTTTGCCATCATCAGAATCTTCCTCTTGCTTTATAGTTGTTCGATTTTCCGATACATGTTCGCGTTTGTGCTCCTGTAACTCCGCATAACCTGGACATGCTTGATGGCAAATGTTACACCAGTAAGTTTTTATAATCTTCCCGGTCTTCGTACTGCTGCGACTCGGATTGAGATTAATACCGTGGCATTTCATGTGATTCTTTAAGTTGTATTTGCTTGAGAATACCTTAAAGCATCGCTTACAGGTGTGATAAGACTCATCATCGTCATTACTATCTGGTGCCGATTGTTGCTTTGAAGATCGTGACTCTTCGCCATCTTCTTCGACGTCCCGTTTCATGTTAGCCAAACGTTCGTGCATTTTCTCATGGTTTGACCACGCCCCTCTCGATGAGATTACTTTCTCGCATAGTCCGCACTTCTTTGGGTACTCTGAAGTGATTTGTTGATTAGGGTGATGTTTCTTGTTGTGATCCCAGATTCCACCATAGCTGACGTAATGCTTATCGCACGGAATACAGCTGAATTTCTTGCTCAAATCCACCTTCTCCTCTATCAGACTACCATCTTGAGCACTCAACACTGGCATTTTCTCGTGCAACAACTTATGGTGTCTCAGTTCGCTTTTATTCGCAAACGACTTATCACATGTTTCACAAATTAACGAAGGGCTAACGATGGCACTTTTATAACCTTTGGTCTCAGAATCCCTGTAGACTTTCAGATTCAAATGAACGCTTCTGTGATTATCCAATTCAGACTGAGAGGCGAACTCTTTGTCACATTCATCGCAAACTTTCTTTGGATGCGTCTCCATATGCTTGGCCCAATCCTCCGTATTGCTAAAGAGCGCCCCACAATCGGGACAGGAGAAATTAAACGGACGTGAGGATGCATCAAAACTCAGTTCAGTTTTGATATCGTCTTCCTCGCCGTGCTCGTTCGCTTCGTGATCCTTCAATTCGGTGATCAGTCTGAATTTTTCATCACAAAATCGACATTCGAGAATCCTCCCTGCTTCGTCATGCGATAGTTTATAATGACGCAACATATTGTGATAAGTCGAATAGGTCTTTCCACAGTCTGGGCAGGTTGCCGGATTGGACGACTTCAAAGTGGGTAAATTTTGTAGAACCTTGGGTTGTTCGGGCGTGTAATCAGGATCTTCCTCATCCAAGTCGGGTGTTGCCTCGGACACTTGACTCGAATTCTCAGATGAAGGCAAGTTTAAGGTTCTGCGTCTAGTTAATTGGCGCAAATCGTCATTTTTGTCTCGTCTTACAATTTCACTCTGCAACGATCTTCTGGTAAGGAGAGACGGTGTGTCGGCGCGTGACTTTGGTTTACTAAACGGATCGTAAGGTTGTAATACGCCCGGTTCCGAGTGGTCGTGTTCTTCCTCGCAATGGCTCCGAAACTCCTCCACCGAGGGAAACACTTCGAAGCATATGTCACAAAAGTAACGCAAAAAACACGCGATGTGCAAGTGCTGGCGATAATCGTCCATTTCGTCAAACGATTTTGAACAGAAGCAAACATAAGGCGGCGTATTCTGCAGCAGTTCCATGTGGTCGACATCAAAGTGACTGCAGAAATCCTCGTAAAATCCGAAAATACAGTTACATCTTAGACATTTATAATTTTGATACAAACGAATTTTGATTTCCGGGTTAACTGGCGATTCCACCAAACGTCGTAAATTTTGCAATACATCCTTTTTACAGCAGCAAAAATGCTTCATGTAGGCAGATCTCTCGGTATAAGTAATCATACAATTGTAACAGGTAAACATGGCAAACCACTGCCTTTGCTTTTTCAAGTGAATATGCAAATCGCGTACCTGGTCGTAGGTTTCATTGTGACAGACGCAAGTTAAAGTATCAGTCATCTTTATTAATATTTTGCATCGTTCCAAGTAGCTCAGTTCCACCTTCGTCAAAGCCATGTCTTCTAAGGGAACTGGTTCGGAATTCTCCGAACGCTGCTTCAACTGTAATCCGGCGGCGAACTGTATCTTTTGGAGCTCGATCTCACCGTTAGTGATTGTGGCTGGTTTTTTGTTAGGGGTCGATGCTACAAAACAAACTAAAGTATTCGAATCGAAGAATTGGGCATACCTTTAGCTGCCTCAGCTTTTCGTTTATTGCCACGATGGAAAACAGCATCGTGTCTGTGTCGGTTTGCAACACTGCTGAACGTCTTATTACATGTTATGCATGACTTACCATCGGAGATTACTTCCTCTTCCTCCTCTTCTTCAACGGGCGCTAAAATCTCATTAACTTAATTCAATACAATTGAAACCCTAAGTCTTACCAGGACCATTCTTCTGACTCGCTATTTCAGCAGGTGGGCTTAAAGATGGTGGATAATCGTATCCATCGGAATGTAATTCGGTTTCCACGTGGTAAATAGCATCCATCGGATCAATGGGCTCAGATTTTATGCGCACGTCATCCTCCTGCAAGAATTATAAAAACATTCAAAATAATTCCTCAACACACTTACCTCGCCACCGTTGTTGGTAGTGGTTGCGCCTTCCTCGTCTTCATTATCATCCATCACTTCATCTTTAATTCTGATGCTCTGCAATGAAATAGTATTAATAATTTGTAAACAATTTTATTCGCGCTCCAGCCCCTACCACGTCGAGAGCGTCATTGGGACTATTCGAATTCCAGTCGTTCATCCACGTCTCCAATTTCGATTGATTTTTCATGCATAAATGCCGAAAACTTTTCCACGATTTAACTTGATTAGTGCACTTTTCGCAGATCATCGTGGATAATTTATCATCGGGCTTTATCTGCAAAAGAAAGTCAAATTTGTGACATCCATTTAGAAACGCAGTGAGATTTATGCCTTTTTTCAGTTTTGCTCCTACACGTCCCATGGGAATAGAAAATAAACAATAAGCTCATTACTCAAGGTTAAATACATTTGGGACAATAATGTCGGTGACTTGCCACATGTGCTATAATTATACTAGGTTGGATGGCTGAAACAGTGCGTGCCAACACTATTCGCTTTTATAATGCGATAGCTAACAAGCAATGACCAGATCCCAGTTAATCAGTCATTGTCATTTAGTTAGAATAAGAGTTATCAGTTTAATTAGGCGCTAATCGCTGGAGGAAAAGGGAACTTTGACGCTTATCAGCGGAGCACTAGCACTTTATTTACACACCTACATAATAAAAAGTGACACAGGGATAAGAGAGGTAATATTTCCATTTACTTAAATGGGAATCGAAGTTATTTTGGCGTTTGGTTCGACTGTAGCGCAACAAGTGCAAATAACTGTTTGTAGGGTTTATTGTTCATTTCTTGCACCAGTGAGATAATTCGTTTCTCATCACCAAGATCTTTACAGCACAGCTGTATCTTTGGTAATATATTACCACACTATGCCTGCCTACACACTAGGCCCGATCTGTTCATCTCCCTCAACTTAATCTCTGCATATTCCATGGAAATCATTTAGACATGTACATAGGTACGTTTTAATTTCTTTCTCAGAAAAGTATGCATACTCACACATTTAAACATACGTTAATATTCTTTTTAAAAGCTTTTACTATGCATTTATTATTTCAAGTCTATTTTGTGTGCTTCCTATTGATGTTACCGGTCATATCCATATGTACGACGTACGTACAGGTATACTCCTCAACTCTGGCTAAATAAATAAATAAGATATATTCATAAATTAATCAGTTTCAATGACTGCTACCACGGCAAGATAAAATCTAACAATACTCTATGATGGAAAGTCAGGGGGTAGCGTTTACGATTAATAAACATTTTACAAAAACCATGAATTTCTTAGTTCTAGTTGTAATAGTGTAGCGTAGCGCATTAGGTCAATCTTTCTCTCGCCCTTGTTAATAAGTAAATATTTAAATAGGAACGCAATGTATGAAGATAACGCAAGACTGCTAATAAATACCCATTTCACTTGTGCAACATGCTAAGTGGATTTATTATTATAATGCTCTTTTCTGATTACTTACTACATATTTACCAAAGGCGTCTATTAAAACAATAGAATCCATTAATTAACTACAACTATTAATAGCAACAATGTTTTATCTGGATGTGGATCGCGTATAAAACAAATCCAAAGAAAATTTAGTTCATCGAGTTGAATGGCACAAGTGAAGCAAGCATGATTTGAAATTCAAATGAAACGCAATTGTGTTTGCTTGCTTTAGTTTACCATTGTCGATGATGTAGATACCATACCAGAATCTATAATTTATTCATTTCGCACTACAGTGTTTCTAATTTGGGAGGTACTGTGCTGCTCCCAATAGCTTATGGGAAAGAAATTATTTCTAGCAACTAGGTATACCGATCACAAATGCTGATATACCAGGTGTCCAAGATCAAAAAGAACATCACGAGGTTTTCGGATATCGTAAAAGTTAGACATCCGTATTGCAGTCATCTTATAGAACTATAAAAATTGCAATGAGAAAGTGTCTTATTTCTTTGTTTCTGTAGAAGTAACCTAAAAAGCAATAATATCGAAATCACGATATTTCGTATTTTTTCGAATATCTCGGGAAGTAAGCATATAATTTTCAAATGGCCTGAGCCTCGGTCTGAATGGCATTTTATTGGCTCCTTAATTCTGAAATTTTGTTTTACAAATAGAAAAGTACCCCCCCCCCCCCCCCCAGTTAAGTGAAGCAGTAGCATTCCACCAATAGATTTGTCAACACCCAACGCAATTACGTTTTGCACACATGTCATAGCGAGCGTACTAGTTTGTACATCGAATTGCAGGAAAAGTGCAAAGCGACTAAAAATAATAGCGGTGTAGGTAAGTGCCAAAAAAAATGCATCATTTAGTAATCCCAATGACGGGGAATCTGTAACAAAAACTACCCTTCCCACTGTGCAAAAGTAACACTTTCATATTTCATAAATTACACAATTTTATGATGAATTTATGACCCAAAAACGTGGAAACTATCACAAGAATATGTCTTTTATTGCCATTAACTAACAAGACTTTAAACTTACCTCGCTTCCGGCTCATCGGCATAGAAAAATATCCAACGAAATTCGTAAATAAAACGGTTTTTGCTTGTTTGGCGAGTTGTTTGATAAAGCGAATTGTTAACTTTTCCTTATTTTAACAATTCACTAATTTGCCGAAGCGCTTTGTAACCGTAGCTGTAACTTAGGATCTAGTTTTTTTTGCGAAATGTTTGTGGTAAAGTTAGGAGTTCGGAGATTTGGTAGTGGTAAGAGTAAATAATCAAGCATTCGGTGGAATGGAAGATTGTTCTTTTGCATCTTTTAATGTTATTGGGCATTGTTTTCTTAATGGATTCCGAATATCTGGAGACAAGAAAAATAAAATAGTCCAGGATTAGGTATTGTTTAATCCGGTATTAAGACATTTGATTGGCTTTATATTGCAGTAGGCAGCCAATCAAATGTCAAAATTCTTGTTTAAACTCAGATTTGGCAAATAATGTAGGATTTTGATTATAATTCGCTTTCCTGCAACCGGCCGTTAGGGATATTTAATTACAACTGCGAATTCGGCATGAGGTCATTGCAGCATTATGGAAACGGCAACGTAGCATATTTGGGAACGATTTTGTACCTTAGCTTTTTTCGAGGCTTTTTTATTTGGTTCGTAGGGCGAGAAATAAGCAAACTAATTAACGATTAAAAATGGCTGTCTTCGTTAATACGATGCCATTTTGTGGACGTTCCTTAATTAATAATGAATGTAGGGGATTAGTTTTGAGGAAAATTCTTAAAGATTCGTGCGAGACCAGTGCATAAGTCTTAGAACAAATTTAAATGAATCAATTTGCGATTAGTCATCATTGCGACCAGTTAGTTATTAAACTTTTGATTATTTCGTGTCTGAACTACGGAAATTTTAACCGTACATTTGAAACTAATATATTAATTCGGATCGGAAACTACCAAGGAATAATCACGTAGTAAATTGAACGCAAGATCCGCGAGTTTTACAGTAGAATCAATTAATATGTAGAAGGTGATTAAGGGACTGTGCCATCTATTACGCCATCAAGGGAATTATTGTAAAACCAGAGGACGTTAAAACCTCACGCGCATTTTCATCGCAAACATTCTCTGTATTCGAAATGAAGAGTGTTACTATGTAAAAATAAATATATCGTATCGTTTAAATTTTTAAGAAACCGGCCAGTAAGTGACAAAAATAATCCTGTTTGCAGAATTACTGCACACTCGTTATTGTCTGAAAGTATTTCGAACTTATTTTAGGCGCAGTAGTTGACAGGAGAGCAAGCAATCGCCAAAAGTTTGCCAGAAATCCTCATTTAGCATCGTAGGGCTAATCAGAGAAGGCGGTAGTTGAGCGAGTCATTCTCTCATTTTAGGTAGCGGTCGCTAAGCGCTTCGCCTGAGGAACGCACCCAATGTTATTAGTAATCGGCGATACAGAAGGAAGGCTGATGTGACGCAATCTTTCCGGGAAATATGACGTATTTTGTTCTAGAATATTCGAGAACGTTCGGAACCATTCGTAAAGACCGACGTCTGCTATATAAGCAAATCGAATTGCGATTCAGTTCCAATTTTATCGCCGAAGTAATAAATAATTCGCGCTGTTATAAATTGTGGATGTGTGAGTAATAAATAATACTCGATTTCAAATCAACGATTTAACTAATACTAACAATGCACAGTAGCAAAAGCATAACACAGATCAACAAGTAACTTAACAACAAACATAATATAAAGTAACAAAATGCGAGCAAAAAGGATTGATTTTGGATGTAAATACATGTAAATTCGTCATTTTGTGGGGGTAAGTACTTGATACAACTATACAGGTTTTTAAGAAATAAACCCCGACATAAACAATCAAAACATGAAATGTGGCAAATTTGTTAATGTATTTTGAATTTGGCTTAACAATGAAATTATTCAATAATACCTACTGAAAGATTTACTTCTTGATTTCATATTTAAACAAGTTAAAAGTAATCGTAAACGATTTACATAAAGCGCATTTCCACTTGCATTCATTTCCCATTTGTAAGATGCAACTTCTGTTAAAATCGTAAAAATCCGCCCACAAATATGAAAGATAGCATTGCACATGGGCAATCCATTGTTGACGTGCTACTTCAATTTCAGTTTATGCGAAGAATTTCATTTCAATGCTTTTCTAAATAAGAAAGTTGGAACTGCGCATTCGCAAAATAAAATTTTGAAACTAGCGCTAGATTTTCCTTTTTTCCAAGTGCCTATGTATCACATTTCATTTAAATTCTTCCATAAATAAAAAAGTTGGCACTGCGCATGCGCAAAACCAAATTTTGAAATTGGCGTTTGATTTTCCTTTATACCAAGTGCCTATGTATCAAATTTCGTTTAAATTCTTCCATAAATAAAAAAGTTGGCACTGCGCATGCGCAAAACCAAATTTTGAAATTGGCGTTTGATTGTCCTTTATCCCAAGTGCCTATGTATCAAATTTCGTTTAAATTTTATAAGTAAAAAAGTTTGCAATTCGGCTTATAAATGGTCGAGATGCGAAAAGGGCACTGTGAATTTTGAATCGATTCGATTCAACTTTTGGCATTGCGTATTATATGGTTAAATCTATGCCCATATTGAATTTCATGCAATTCAGTTCATAACTAACGGAGATGTAAAAGCGATCGAACATTTCTAAACAAAGTTATGGTTCACACGGACAGATAGATGGACAGACAGACAAAGGAACAGACGGAGAGACCAACCGGCAGGCGACAGATAGCAATGCAAAATTATAAACGATCT